AGGGACTTCCCTGTCCCTGCCCTACTCCAGCACCCGCCCATGCACCACAGGGTTCTGGATCCAAATCCAAAGGGCTCCCAGCCCCTGCTGCATCCCTGACAGCCCCTCAGGCCCCACAACCCAGCCCAAACCTCCTCTTCAGCAGCTCTCTTCAGCGCGGGCCCCTCGTCGTCATCATCTTCTTCTTCCTCATCTGAGGAGCCAGAAATGGGTCATTGGGGAGGCAGGGAGCCCCAGCAGGCCCCAGTGGTCGCCCTCAGGCCTACATCAGGTCTTCAAGCCCACCCTGACTCTGTTCCTTGCCCCTCCCCACCTTCTTCTTCTCCTTCATCCTCCTCCTCTCCGTCCTCAGCGGTTTCTTCTTCTTCCTCCTCAGCTCCATTCTCCTCCTCCTTTGGGGACCAGAGGAGAGAGCAGTGTCAGGCTGGCTGTTTGCCCCCCACACTATCACCACCAGCGGCCAGGGGCACTGGGAGGGCCGGAAGGGTGGGGCAAGGTGGGCACAACCCTCAACCCTGACCCTCAGCACCTCCACCACTTCTTTCTTCCGCTCTTTCCGGCTCGCCTTCTCCTCCACCTTCTCTTTCTTCTCCTTCAGGTCCTGCAAGAAAGAGGTCACCTTTCTCTCACCAGAAAGCATCTGCAGCCCTGAAGTCCCTCTAGCCCTGGTTCTCCCTCTGCAGTGAGCTTAGAGGAGAATGTGAAATAGAGAAGGTAGTGACAGCAGTTTAGAGTCAGAACAGAGGTCGCAGGGACCTAAAGGCCACAACAGGGCTGAGATCAGACACTTTCTTCCCCACGTCTCAGAGAAGATGAAAAGTGATGGGGAAAGAGAACTAGATAGCCAAGGTAACTGCTCACCATCCCCATCAAGTTCTTCCAAACCTCACTGGCTGCAGAGTTCAACTCAGCAAAGCAAATCCCCTCCATCTGCTCACAGCCCTGATGCCCCACCCCCTCCCACTGCCTGCCCAGCTCTGCCTTTTGTCTACCCCTAGGGCCTTTTCCTGGTACTCTTTCCTGGGCATCCCTCCCAGCTTCGCCCCACCTACCAAAGCCTTTGTTTCCCTGTCTGTGTGTCTGTCCCCAGAATCCTCAGGCTCCTACTTGGGCAAACACCACAGGAATAGGGAGAGCACTCTAGCCCAATTCCTGGCACCCCCTCTCACTTTTTCCCACTCCCCTCTCTGGGGGAAAATAAAAGTTCAAGTAGTTTCCACCTCCCTAAGGCCTGTGGTGTGTGCACGGTGTGGTAGGAGGGTAGAAATAACTACTTCCAGGGGATGTAGGTCAAGTAGGATAAAACAAACATGGGAGAATGTGGGACATGGAGATGAAATGAGAGAGACAAGTTCTGTGTCTGGGGTGGGACAGAAATACAGATGGGGAAAGTACATGTCTAGAGGACACCCCCCCCCTGCACTGCCCCTCTTCTTCACCCCAAGATCTTAGTGGGCACACCCTCATGTCCTTTTCTGATGTAGCAGAGGGAGATGCTCCTGAGAGTCCCCCTTCTCTAGACACACCTGCTCTTCCAATTTCGATTCCTCCTCTTCCCACCCCACCCTTGGCAGGCCCTGAGTGAGTGTCTCCTTATGATCAGATCTGGCATTGGTGTGCAACTCTGTGGATCTGATTCCGTGTGGATGGAAGTTTTCTGTGTGAGTAGATCAGCCTGAGAGGGTGTGTCCTTTCTGGAACTGAACTGGGGTAGGAGGGGGTACGGGCTGGTGTCAGTGGTTGGCCTGGAGGGACGCTCAATTCCCTTCTCCCTTTCAGGGAAGGGAGAAGAATGCTTGACCCTCTCACTCCAGCCAGGTTTCCTCATGTCACTTGGCTGTCCTCATTTCTTTGCCACATGGTTGGTATGGCATTTCTTTCTTTCTTTTTTCAAATTTTTTTTTGAGCGAGAGAGACATTGATTTGTTGATCCACTTATTTATGCATTCATTGGTTAATTCCTGGATGTGTCCCGACCAGGAATCAAACCTTGGCAC